CACGTTACATGGCATCGTTACGGCTCTCTACAGCGCGCGCAACGCAAGCTCTATTACGAGGCGTCACACACTGCAGAGTTCCCAATTTCCATCGCGTGATTTCTGCGCACTTAGCGTGTTGAATCTTAATTGAGCATTTTAACTAGTGCGATCCCTTAGGGCGTGTGAAATGGCCTGGAACACACGTAGTCAAAACAGAGAGCGCTCGGACTCAATATGATGTATTTCACTGAATTATGGTCTAGGTTTATCGGCGTGCATAAACACCAAATAATGTGGAATTATAGACTGAAGTCTTAAGGCCTCTTCACACCAAGAGGCTTCAATTCAGTTGATTATCATTTACAGTAGAATCACGTTATATAACGAGCGCCTTTATAACGAAGTACCCACAGTATCACGAAGAATAGTTATAATCAGTAAGTCCGTTATAATAAACCTCCGTTAGAACGAACAAACTTTCCCAGACCCCTGACAACTCGTCATGAATTGGTTTCACTGCAGTTCTTTTCTGTCGGTAACTTTAGACAAAACGTTGTACGATAATCGTCTCATATTGCTGAAGATTTTTTGCTCTCCTTGTAACAATCTTTTTTATATATGAAAAGATCTGTTTCATGGGAATATCTGAAATTTGGCTGAAACTTGCGAAGTTTTAAGAATAAACCCGACACTGAGATTATGGAAAGAATTCCTCCTTTCTCTAAACGGCAAAACTAGAAAAAAAAAAACAAAACAAAACAAAAAAACAAAACAAAAACAAAACAAAACAACAACAACAACAACAACAACAACAAAAAAACAACAAACTAAAATAGCACTGCCGTATGTTCGATGCTATTACATTTCTGCAAGAACTTATGCGTGTCATATGAGGCTGCAGTGTGGCTCCAAAATTACGTCACTGCCATCAAAGTCATGATAGGACAGATAATCTGACATTGCCACGGCATAGAACACTTTGTATTCCTTTAACTAATCTTAGAATGTTTATAAGAATGTTTTTAGCCTAAAATAATATTCAGCCAGGGCCGGAAAAACAATATTCCAATATAATAAAAAGAGTTTAGAGCTAAACAATGCAATGCTACAAATGAGAGACGGACAAGTTTTAAATTTAAATGTTATATACAAACAACCATTTTCAACAGGTCCCGACTCTTCAAACGCTGGATAACGCTATCCAGCCGATAAATGTTAACAAAACAAACCTCGCTATCCACTGGATAGTGATTTATCCGGTTGATAGCGTCATCCAACTTTCCAACAACACAGATGTTCAACTGATGAAAAATCGAAAATGCAATGAAGTGAAAACTCTCCCATGCAAGCTACACTTCAGTGCGACCGAGCATGACGTGTTCTCGTGACGATCCCAAAGAGGACATTGCAAAGGAAAAGCCTGAAAAAATGTCCACATATATATATGTATGTATCGATCGAGACGACCTAACATTTAGGTATCTGAAATTTCTGATAATCACGGGGTCATTCAATATAGAACTCACGTGTTTATATTGCAACAGTCATGGAAACTACTTAATCTTTTGTTGACCGATTTCCGTTTCCGTTTGCAGTTCCGTTTCCGTAGGCTGTAAAAATTTCAAAAGCTCTAGGATCATGTAATTTCCATATGTACTTGTTGGTATCAAGCACTGTCAATGTAAATGTAAAAGCTGAAGCCGAAAGTCTCTTCCTAAAATCAGCCAAGTGACCGTAAATCAAGAAAAAAGATTCGGAATATTTCAACGCTTTACGAGACATCTTCAGGTAAACAGTTCATCAATTAAGTTTCGCTGTAAAGATACAAATGCAAATATGATACACTTGAAAACTACTGGAAAACTCCAAGTAACACTCAATGACAAGTTGTTTGCACCGATTCATTCCTCCTTTCTCCGAAATTCGTTATCCTTAATTGTGCAACTGCCTGTACCATAAACCCTTCTGTTATTTAGCCTATCCAAAATAGACCATAGATTTGCAGCCAGCTAGATTGTATTCTTCATTTGCAAACTGTTGCTTCCAGAGAAAATTAACATAATATTTTAAATACAATAGTCAGTCAGCCAGTCAGCCAGTCAGCCAGTCAGTCAGCCAGCCAGCCAGTCAGTCAGTCAGTCTTTCCGTTTTTCCTATCTTTATACGAATCACTGCAAATCACTGTTGCGTGAAAGAATAACGGCAAAATAGTTGGCGTCTATTGCTCAGTAAATCTCAATTTTATTTGTCAGCAGTGTACCCAAGCAACATGTTGGTAGCCCACAATTGGTTTGTTGTCGTCCTTCTATTCAGCTGGAACATTTCAGAAGCGGGCGAACAAGGAAAGATCATGGAATTTCTGGGAGTGGAAACTCCAGAAAACTGCCCGGAGGGAAGCTACGCACTGAACAAGTGCGACGAACGCTGTGAATGTCGGGATGGCAAGCTAACAAACTGTTACCGGGTGCGTAAAGACTTCATCAAAATGGGCATCAACCAAAGACGGCGTTTTCTCAACGCGTACAAGATGGCGTCGACGCATCCGGCTTTGAAGGGAGACTATTACAGATTGGTCGCTTTTCATATCGCCACCCCAAACGAGCTGCTCCATTTATCACCCTACATATTTTTCCCGTGGCACCGATGGTTCTTGGTTGAGTTCGAGAATCTTCTACGCAGAATCGACTGTCGAATCACTCTTCCGTATTGGAACTGGAGCCGAGTTGCTGACCGATGGTGGAGTGGGTCTGGTGACGAAGACTTCTGGAGCCCTGGCGACCACGGGTTAGGTGGGGATGGAAACCCTTCAGAGTACCAGTGTGTCGAGGACGGGCCTTTTAACAAGGATCAATGGCGTCTGCTCAAGATCACAGGAGGTGGGTGTCTGACAAGGAATTTTAGTTACGTCAGTCTAACCGGGAATCCGGAACATCTCCTCAGAACACTAGCGCTACCACTGGAAATGTTTCTTGAGTTTGAGGAAATAGTCCGTTTGATTTATCATAATGATATTCACCACGTTGTGGCTGGAACGATGTTTACAACATCAGCTTCTAATGCTCCTGAGGTGATCCCTCATCACTCCTTCCTGGACAAGATCTGGCACCAATGGCAGAAAAAAGGAGACGATTACAAGTTTGTTTACTTTCCAAGCATTCCTAACAAGTTGCCCATGCTAGAATACTACGGTTGGCAATGGCTGGATTCAGATAACCTCCCTGGTGGAGTGAAAGTCACGTATGAAGATTAAGAACTATCAAGAAGGCAGGCAATCTTTTGGTTGGTCACGCAAAGATTACGTGACGAACCCAGGCAATCTCTTGGCTGGTCACGCAAAGTTTAAGTGCCAAGCCCAGGTAATCTCTTGGTTGGTCTTGCAAATATTACGTGACAAACCTAAAGATTGTCTCGTCACGTTAGGCTTCTTTAAAAACTGTAGTGGTTACAAAAAGAATAACAGAGCAAAATAATTTGACAGGGGTTTAGGGATCAGGGCATACAGTGTGGGGTATTTTTATTTTGTTTATGTAATTCTGTTTGATTTCCTAATCAATTATAATGATCCAAAAGTGATATACTGTAGTGGAAAGTTTGCTAGTAATATGATAATCAAGTATGATAAATCAAACTAGTGCTGGGCGATCTAATTTGAGTTAGGTAGCCCAAAGAAGGGTGCTTATTGGTGACTGGGGGTTTATTCACGAATGGGAGACAATTTATTTTTGTAACCTTGACAATCCAAAAGCATGCAAACTACAAACTGTGAACTTGAATGAAAAGTCTAAAAGAGAGCCACTGGATTTACATGTAAATCAGTCAATTCTTACCAAAGAAAAAAAAAACTGTTTCCAATTCAAAACAAAACAAGATATCATAAACTATACCTCTCAAATTTGGGAGCATTTTTATGGTAAACACTAATGATTATTTTAATTATTATCTAAGGGTATTTGTTTTAACATGACTGTTAGCTGGAATACGGGTGATTTTATTAAACACCTTTAAATGTGTGGTATTACTTGAGGTGGTGTCAATTTCTATTTCTTGTGCTTCTTGTCAAGTGACAGAGAGCTCAACAAAATAATCAAATGAGGAATTCTCGTCAAGGTGAAACTACTTATCAAAAACAGGGGACTGTCATAGACAACAATAACTGTCAATGTTATTAGTCATTGACTGAAATTATTATGATCACCCTTGTGATAA